TGGAAGAGATATTTATTTTTACTAATCACTAATCAGTCGTAATTGTTCTAGCGAGACAATATGGCTAACCATTACACCGCCTCGAGGTGATCTGTACTTGTCTTATATGTTCATATAATAAATTAAAATCTGGATATAAATTGGGGGATGAATTCTATATTATAATCAATATATAAACTGATCCCTCATGCTGTCGCTATGTTAGCTTCAATACATTTATATCCCAGAGAATATAAATAAATCAAAAAGACATACCTGTGTAGATAATCAGTATTATATTGACTGATTGAGACGTATTACATGGATTATCAGCCCATTGCAGTTTATAAAAAGTCAGAAAATATTTTAGATTGCACATGCCTTTTTTCACATAGTAATGGTTAAGCGACACAAGACGTCCTAATTAACCCATATCTGGGGGAGAGGATGTGGATTAATACCTTTTCCCAAGGTTATTTGTACGTAAGTGAATATAGCTAACAATTCCCAAGCGGTCACGCATGTGGGTACCGAACAAGGTCGACATTGCTTTACTTGGCTGATTGTACAGGAACTATATATATATATATATATATATATATATATATATATATATTCGTTGCCATATCCAAAGCGTTTCGGCCGTTCTACGCTCATTCCTTCTTCTGGTGGTGACTAGAATTTCGAACTGAACCCTTTATTTCGTCCTCCGGTATAGATTGTTCTAGTTCCACGTGCCATGCCTCTTCCGGGTGTCTCAGTATCAGTTATCTCCCTTTAACACAACTCTCCAAGTTTTTTCACCTCCGTTGTCGTGTCGGTGTTTCATGGGCAAGACGTTTACTAAATTTATTAAAGACATTTTTATGTTTAATGTTCTTTTTTAATAAATAAATTGTCGGATTTGTCCATTTCTTAATATATGACGTCATTTGATTACATTTGATACGCCAGAGCAGTTATGAATGTACGAGATTCATGGAAGATTGAAGTTTATAAGCAGTAAATTCAACCTTGCCAACCGAACGCTCCTTTGTGGCCGAGTCGGTTAAGGCACGTCAGCGTAAATGACGGTTCCGTATAGGATGCAGGTTCGAATCCTGTCAAAGGACGAATATTTTCTATGAATATTTCTCGGACATTCAGGCCGGTAAATGTTATTTAATACTGTTTATTATAAACAGAACATTTACTTAAATACTTGTATCTATAAAAAAGAACGTTAAACATAAAAATGTCTTTAATAAATATATATATATATATATGAATGAAACTGAACCAGTCTAGTAGAGTTACTACTTATTTCATTGTGTAATCATTGACTTGCGTAATAGTATCCGACATATATATTTAACTTAATTAGGGACTATATTTCCATAATATACACTCCCCCTCTAACTCTTCAAATGACGTAAGTATGCATATTTCTAATTTTTATATCCCTCCTCTATAACTTTATAAACTTTCCCCTCCTCTAAGATCTCCCCAACTCTCTTTCCATCAATCCCTTACTTCCTTTTATCTATATATTTTAAAGGTATTTATACCCCTCTTTTTACCCCTCTTTTTACCCCTCTTTTAATTTTAAAATTAATATTTCATTCTTCATCTAACCTCAAATCTCTGTCATAAGGCTAATAGTATTCGGGTTTCATTTTATAAAACTTCTTCCCTTTAAGACAAATACCTTCCACCCTCATTTGACTCCTGACTTGTGCTTTTCGTCTGACTGAAACACTGAAATGGATAAATTATGTATTATGTTTTCGAATGGTGTTTTTTTTTGTTTTTTTTTCACTGTTTAATTTCTATTTCTGAAACGAACTCAGACCACACTGAAGTTGATAAGACAGACAACTGATATCTTCGTCTACCGAAATAGGCTATTTCCCGTATTAGATGATTTCGGATTTTATTGCTTATTCGATATATATTTTATTGTTTATTTTATATGTATATATGCCGAAACATTTTGTAAAAATAAAAATATCTATAAGAACACCGGATTTTATATCTTACTGTTCTTTCTTTCTTTATATATATATATATATATATATATATATATATATATATATATATGGGTATATTTCGGCAGCATATTTTCATTAATACACGTTGCTGACTACACATATAAAAATGGTAATCTTCGGATGACTACAACAAATGTTTGTCCTTCACAACCATGAACACTAAATACTTACTCAATAATTAACAATACCCTGATGATGGCATTATTATATGTCGAAAGTACTCGGAATAAGCACAATATGAGCCAACACGGTGTTTTCCTCTCGTCTTTTTATAACCCCACCAAAAAAGCTTAACCACGAATATGAAAGGATCTTATAGATAACAAGTAGACAGGACATTATTAATTATTCAATGAAACCTGTCTTTAATATATATATATATATATATATATATATATATATATATATATATATATATATATATATATATATGTTTTACCAGTTTGTGACTAGAAGGGATAATTCGAGGAGGATATAAATCCAGGGAGAGCTCAATGTAGATGACAGAGCATTATAATGATAAGACATTTCGATTATAAATACGGAGGAGATTACGATCCGAAGAGTTGAACATGTCTGTGTTCACGAAATAAATTTATAATCCAAATGGATAATTAAAGTCTCCGTTTTCTTATTGCCACCATATATATATATATATATATATATATATATATATATATATATATATATATATATATATGCATGTTTCATTAAAAACGACAGACAAGGTACTACGGTTAAGCTTTTTATTTAATTTTTCTTGTGTTCGAACAAGTGCTTTCTTTTCTGGACAAAGGCTGTGTAAGAACTGTTCAAATGTTTTAGATTTCCGAGCTCTTTCGGCTATACCTTTAGCCATTATCAAGGATGCTTCGATTTTCAGTTCTTACACACCCTTTGTCCAGAAAAGAAAGCTCTTGTCAGAACACAAGAAAAAATTAATAAAAAGCTTAACCGTAGTACCTTGTCTGTAGTTTTAACGAAACATGCATAAAGGAAGTATTGCTACCTAAATATACAACTATATATATATATATATATATATATATATATATATATATATATATTAATATACAACTATATATATAAACTTAACCAGTAAAATACAGTTACTACTTATTTCGTTGTGTAATCACTGACTTGCGTAATACAATCCGACATATATATATATATATATATATATATATATATATATATATATATGCGTGTGTGTGTGTGTGTGTGTGTGTGTGCCTTTTTAAAGGTTGGTATCTGGATGAGTAAATATATAAGAACAGAAGTAGCCTCTGAGCTCAAGAGTGATCGATTTTTATCTTCACCTTTATTCGTTCTTTCATCTCTCTTTCCGTATATTTTTTCCTACCTTCCATCATTGTATCGATTTTTATTTTCCCTATTCCTATCTGTTTTTCTTTATGTCCTACTTTCTACCGTATCTTCCCGCTCTAGCCCCCGCCCCCTTCCAAATCCCTTCGTTTCCTGCCACTGTTGATCAAACCTGAAACCGTGCGTTGCGCATCTATCATCCTTCGCATCAGCCGACACTCTTTTCTGATAAGTGCTTCTTGTCTTCCTGTTTAATGTTTCCTTCTCTTGCGTGGACCTTCGTATCATTCGACTTTCTTCTTCATATCTGTACTTTCTTCTTTTTTCTTTTTTCTTTCTCCGTCAGATTTTATATTCATATTCCCAGAAAGAGAGAAACGATAGAGAAGAAAAGGAGAGAAGGAAAGAAGATAAGAAAAGGAATAGAAAAACAAAAAGAGTATGGTAATAGAAAGGAGTAGGAGAAATAGAAAGCGGGGGGGGGAAAGAGAGAGAAATAGAAAGGGAAAAGATTGGAAACGATATAAAAAGGAAGTAATAGAAAGTAAAAAAAAAGGAAGAAAATGAAAAAGAAAGAAATATATAGAAGAACAGCAGAGGGTGAAGACAAGGAAGAGAGTTAAGAAAATAAAAGCATAGTCTGAGAAATGAAGAGAAGAAGAAGAAGAAGAAGAAGAAGAAGAAGAAGAAGAAGAAAGAAAGAAGAAGAAAGAAAGAAGAAGAAGAAAGAAAGAAGAAGAAGAAGAAGAAGAAGAAAGAAAGAAGAAGAAGAAAGAAAGAAGAAGAAGAAGAAAGAAAGAAGAAGAAGAAAGAAAGAAAGAAAGAAGAAGAAGAAGAAGAAAGAAAGAAGAAGAAGAAAGAAGAAGAAAGAAAGAAGAAGAAGAAGAAGAAGAAAGAAAGAAGAAGAAGAAGAAAGAAGAAGAAGAAGAAAGAAAGAAGAAGAAGAAGAAGAAGAAAGAAAGAAGAAGAAAGAAAGAAGAAGAAGAAGAAGAAGAAGAAAGAAAGAAGAAGAAAGAAAGAAAGAAGAAGAAGAAGAAGAAGAAGAAGAAGAAGAAAGAAAGAAAGAAAAAGGGGGTTTGGTAAAAAAACTCACGAACCAGAGAAAGAAAAATAACAACGGAAGAAGGAAAAATGAAAAAAAAAAATGAATAAAAATGGTAGAAAGAGAAGGAAAAAAAAAAGAGCGTAGAGAAATGAAAAGAGAGAAATATGAAGAAAAAAGAAGAGAAGATTAAATAAGAAAACATAATGAAAGAGAGAGAATGAATATTGAAAGAGGTTGAAAGTAATGGAGCCATGAGTGAAAGAAAACTGCGATAAGAGTAAAAAGAAAAATGGGTTTAAAAAACGAAAAAAGAAATAAGGTCTTGAAATGAAATGGAGAAAAAAACTGAAAAAAGGAGAAGAGTAAGTTGATGATGAAGAAATAAAAAAATTATAATGAGAGAAAGAGAGAGAGAGAGAGAGGAAGAAAGAGAGAAAAGGAAGGAACTTAAGAAATTGAAAATAAAAAAAGGGTAAGAAGAGAATAGGAACCCGATAAAAAAAAAGGAAAATGTGAATGAGAGAGAGAAGGATAAAAAGAATGAAGTTAAGGAGCTGAGAATGAAAACGTATAAAGGCAATTAGATGATGATGATTAAGAAAGAGGAAATCATAATGAATGAGAGAGAAGACTAAAAAAAAAGGAAAAAAACGAAGAACGAGCGAGCGAAAAAGAAGATGAAGAAAAAAGTATAAAGAAAAAAAAAGGGAAAAAAATATACTGCCCCCATAGAATCATACGTCTTATTTTATTATTATAATGCATTTATTACATTCGCAATCAATTCAGATATTTTAGGGCTCAGGAATTTGATCCACATATTTGTTTACTTCATTTTGGTAGCATAGTAACATGTTAAAACGGGATGCAGAATTAATTTAAACTTCGTCCACCGCGACGCAAATGAGTCCGAACTTTTATTGTCGATAACTCCAAAACGGTAGATTTTATAAATATTTCTTTGTTATTTTCGAATTAAGCATGTACTTTTACACCTAAATGGAACTATTCGGGAAATTTTCATTAGAATCTGAGCGTGGGTCTCTGAATGAAAATTACCCTTTTGAGATTCCGAGTTGAAATTAGTTCTGTCACCCACCTGCAAGGTTATGCCCTGTTTTAACACAGGGCATAACCTTGCAGGTGGGCTCAGTTAAAACCCCATCCCTACGTCCAGAAATAACGTTCCCCTATGTCCTCCTATACATGAACGGAGATTTACAGTGTGTCAGGAGTTGGAGGAGATCAACAACTAGATAAGAACAGGCAAATGACATGCGGAAATGAATGGTGTATTTACTGTAGCCCATGTTAATTTACCAAGAGAACACATGTACATGCTAACACCTCTTGCCCTTTTCTAATCATTTAGAATCCTAATCTCACTGCACTATCGGTACATCCATGAAAAGTGCTCGGACGAACTACATTCCTTAGTTCCACCAGTTCTAACTTCCACGGCTTGGACCCGCCATGCAACTTAAATAGTAGCAAACCAACTACATTCCTTTCGTATTCCATGGGTGAGAAGTAGGATCCACTTGAACAGCTTCTTTCTGCGTACTGCTGCTCTGTGGAACCGATTCACAACAGGATGTTTCTTAGATCATTACAATCTTAACCTGTTCAAGCCTAGGGTTAACCGTTATCTTCCCCTCCTATCCGCATAAACTGTGCCTCTTACAGTAGCCCTTTATCACGTGTGTCCCCGGGTCTTGTACAAGGTAAACCTCCCTGTAATAAAAAAAAAAATTCCTTTGATTTCTGTTGTATACACATTTCTTTCCGGGCCTCAACCCAGGGTCAGAAATAGTATTATGACGTTTTCCAAACAGCATTTTCGGGAATAAAAACATAAATACGAGAAATGAATAAATAAATAAATAAAAACATAAATACAATAAATAAATGAATAATAAATAAAATAAATAAATAACATAAATACAATAAATAAATAATAAATAAATAAAATAAATAAAATAAATAAATACAAAACATAAATACAATATATAATAAATAAATAAATAATAAATAAAATAAATAAATAAAACATAAATACAATAAATAAATAAATAAACAATAAAATAAATGAAAAACATAAATAGAATAAATAAATAATAAATAAAATAAATAAATAAAAAAACATAAATAGAATAAATAAATAAATAAAAACATAAATACAATAAATATATAATAAATAAATAAATAATAAGTAAAATAAATAAAAAACATAAATACAATAAATGAATAAATAAAATAAATAAAAAATATAAATAAATAAATGAAAAAAAATAAATAAATAAATAAAATAAATAAAAACATAAATACAATAAATAAATAAATAAATAATAAAATAAATAAATAACATAAATACAATAAATAAATAATGAATAAAATAAATAAATAAAAAACATAAATAGAATAAATAAATAAATAATAAAAAAATAAATAAATAAAAACATAAATACATAATTACAAATATAAATACAAAGACCACACATATCGATAAAACCTTTCGTAATGTGTGAGCTGTAATTATGAGTACAATTTTTTGTATTCCTTTATGGCTTAGACTACCAGGAATCCCTTCAGTGAGCATATCAGAAACTTTCCTAATCTGCAGGTTCAAACTAAAACTGGGATTTTTAATGAACTCGTGTACCACATTTTCAGATTTCCACTTCAAGATACTTGTAAAGGGCACTTCATTATGACAGATCAAAGTCAACAGTAAATAAATCAGTGTTATTGGTGAAAATTTATGTATTTCTCTATTGAATCATGTTATTTAAGTCATGACAATTATGTGTGAAAAATAATATCACCAAAATGTCCGCCACACATCTACTCAATGGCCAAAATTTTTGATGACGTCTCTGCATAGTTGCTCCTCGATCTCACCAATATGTCTTATTATCTCATCTTTCAGCTTTTGAATTTTTGTTGGTTTCTTGGCATAGACCTTACTTTTGAGATCACCCGTAAGGAAGTCATACGATCGTGGTGGCTAACTGACTTTGCTGTGTCGAGAGATGATGCGACCTGGGAACTTCTCATTCAATAAAACCATTGTTGTATTGGCTGTGTAATAGGCTTCGATAACTTTAATACATTGTTTGATTGTTAATCTTTCCATGATTGAATTTGCCAAAAGCTTAAGTTGTTAAATCTGAAAGTAAAAGAAAAAAAAATCATTAGACGCTTAAACTTTATTCACATTTAAAATCATTCCAAGTTATTGGAACACCCTTTATTTTTTGTATCTTTCGTTGTCTGATCTACAACGTGGTAGACAAATATAATAGTATTCAAACCATTATTTTATATTGGCATGGCGAGCTCGGATTCCAGACGAACCCGCTTACACACAATCCTTTTTGGAGGTGTATTAATCAATCTTTTCTCTCTCCTGATACACTATTAAACTTAATTCACATTTAAAATCGTTCCAAGTTATTGGAACAGTCTTTATTTTGATAATTTTTGGAAGATCTTCAAATATATATTACAGTCTCCAAGAAGTACCACGTCAATAAGAAAGCACATTCTATTTTTGTGGTCTTTGATCACGATGTCTGGGCGATTAGCCTTCATTGTTCTGTCTGTAAATGTCTGAGCGTGGGTTTCTGAATGCAAATTACCCTTTTGAGGTTCCGATTCTGTCTGTATATATTGTAAATTCCCATAGAATTTTGACAAATTTTATCTCTATAACCGGGTTTGTGTGATGGTCGTACTAGTTTTTTAAAGTTTCCAATGCAGATATTGGCTCCTTTTTGCCATGTTGATTTTTTATAATTAGTGGGTGTGCCAATACCAGGCAACGACCTGATACAAAATTGTACTTTTATTTCTGGACACACATTGAACTATTTCTTATTTGGTTTACTTATGAATCTTTTAGATTTAAAAGTGTTATTCCTAACGAAAGGTTTTGTTTCTTATCTCCTGCTTGGCCAAATCAACGTATTCTCTCTTTTAACACACACACACACACACACACACATATATATATATATATATATATATATATATATATATATATATATATATATATAAATTCCCAAGAGGATAGAATCCAGGTAGAACTCAATGTCCAGGACAGAGAAAAAATATAATATAGAAGGTCCAAATACAAATATTCCATGGTCATAATTAATTACATTGGAATCGTAATCACGATCAAAATCATCAGACCTACAAATTCAAAAAGAAGTCAGAATATATATATATATATATATATATATATATATATATTATGACGACGATTATTTTAAGACATTTTTTTATGTTTATACATTCTTTTTATAGATACAAATATTTAAGTAAATGCTGTGTTTATAATAAACTGTATTAAACAACATTTACCTCCGAAGGACGAATATTTTCTATGAATATTTCTCGGATATTCAAGCCGTAAATGTTGTTTAATACTGTTTATTATACACATAAAAATGTCCTAATATATATATATATATATATATATATATCTGTTTAATTCAATTAAGTACGGTTTTGTCTACACTATTGCTTAAACCTATACTTCAGGGTACTGATAGCAGACACGGAAAAGAAATTGCAAAACCTCCTACAGAAGGTAGCGACGGAGAGTGAGAAGAAAGGACTAAGCACAAACTACAAACTGAATGCATGGTCATCAGTAAGAAGAAGAGTCCGAAATGTGATTTGCAGGTCGGTAATACTAGAATCAAGCAGACGCGAAAGTTTAAATATCTGGGAAGCATCTTGACAGCGGTCGCTAAGTGCGACACCGAGATCCCTAGACGTATTGGGATGGCCAATGACACATTTCAAAACTGGGCAGAGTATTGCGAGACAGGAGGATATCTTTGGTAACAAAGAAAAGAATACAGAGCTGTTACGTGACATCTGTCCTTCTTTATGGCAGCGAATGTTGAGCGATTTCCTCAAAAATGAGGAAGAGACTCGAGGCGACGGAGATGTGGTTCTACAGAAGGATGCTAAGGATATGACCTGAGCGTGTGAGCAACGATGAGATCTTAGAGAGGTTACAAACAAGGAGGAAGCTTATACTTAATATAGGGAAGAGGCAGCGGAAATTTCTGGAACACATAATAAGAAATGCGTGCCTTTAGAATCCGATACTCACGGGTCGAATTGAGAGATAAGGGAAAACAACGGTTGACATACCTGACGGGCTTAAGCAAGTGGATGACTGTGGGGGAGGAAGCAAAGGAAAAGAACTTGTTGAGAGGTGCGAAGGATAAAGGG